ATGGGGCTTGAATGCATGACCCCACCCAAGATTAAGAGTCACTCACTCTGCTGACTGAGCCAGCCAGGCACCCCCTAAAATTCTTTTTTTTTTTTTGAAGTTAATCCATTACGACCTTAGTCCGCTTGACCACACATTAAATTGCTTTTTTGAAATCTTTTTCCACAAACATCTTGCAACTTTCTATATCCATTTAGGCTTTTCCTATCTTTTCCCTTTCTTATTCCAGAACAGTCATTTTGCTCTAAGACAAAATTACTTTCTTTTTCCTTTACTAATCCCAACCCCCAAAACCAAACCCAAAACAATAACAACAGAAATCCATGTCTTTTATACCTTTTCCTGTTCAAAAACACATTCAGAGACAATGGAATGTATTCTTTGACTGGTATACCAAAGCTGCAAGACGAAAGGACTCCAAAACACAACTCCAAAAGTGCCCTTACAGGATGCAAAATAGAGAATGTTTCACAAAACCCCTTTGGCCATCTGGGCAGGTATGCACATTAAGTTGGAGAGCTTAGAACACAGAGAGCAGAGCTCAGATCCGAGAGACTCACCCGCAAACTTGAGGGTTGGTGAGAAAGTGCTGAGCACGGTGGGCTCTGTGGGAGGCAGGACCTGCCTGCACAGCAGCCTCAGAGTCATTGTGTGGGGCGGGGGGGTGTCCTTTTTTTTTTTGGATCCCACTTCTGACACCATGAAATGTTAAAAGTTTCCACCTAACAGAAGGAAAACCAAGGAATCACCCAAGTAGGACTTACTATTGTTTATTGTGCACACACCAAAAAGACACTTGGCAAGCCAGGAGCACTCCAACCAGAACATGGGGCATGGCCTGGGGAGGCCGGGGGCACTCTGACCCGAACGTGGGGTGCGGCTCTGGGGTCATGCGGCGCCTTCCATGGTGAGAGCACAGTGAGTGTTCATTGTTCACGGTGATTGGTTATCATATCAGAAGTTTCCTAAACGACAGGGACCTGGTTAGTGGTTCTCTCCCAACAACCTCGGGAAGCAGTTTAGGTTTTGCTTATGATTTTCAGAGGCACAAGCGGGGGATGACCTGGGTCAACTTAGCCTTGCAAAATAAGCTTAATGAAGCTTTCTACGACTAAACTGATTTTTTCTGTTCAGGGACTTTTCAAGGTTGGTCTCTGTTTGTTTTGGATTTTAACAGAGGGGTCCCCTCCCCAGCTTTGTCCTCCACTTGGGAGAGAACCAGGCTGCTCCTTTCTGGAGCGCACTGTTCTGGGCCTGCCTTTGCTACCATGAGCTGGGGCTTTAGCTGGGCACTGTTCCCCAGGCCCCCGGGGGCTTTGGAGCCCTTCACGTTGAGGCCCTGGGCCAAAGATGTTTATCACCATTGCTACAGAAGAGAAATAATTCTCTTTATCCACTTCTTCTTTTTTTTTTTTTTTTTTTTTTTTTAAGATTTCATTTATTTATTTGAGAGAACATGAGCAGAGGGGAGGGGTAGAAGGAGAGGGAGAAGCAGACTCCCCATTGAGGAGGGAGCCTGGCGTGGGGCTCAATCCTAGGACCCTGAGATCATGACCTGAGTGCAAGGCAGATGCTTAACTGACAGAGCCACCCAGGCGCCCCTCTTTACTCACTTCTTGATCAAAAAAGAGAAATCAAAGGACAGCTAGGGATGTCCCTGGCAGGTGCAATACCAGCTGCCCTTTCCCCACTCGTGGGGCCTGCGCCCTGGAACAGGGAGGTGTGCCCCGGAATGTGTCCACCCCTCTCTGGTTAGTGCACTGTCCCCTGGGATGCAAAGTCCAGCTGGACTCCCCTGGCGGAGCCCCCTGCCCCCAAGGCGGGCTCCCGCTGGGACCACCCCTGGGGACAGCGGGGTCTCCCGAGGGCTCAGAAGGGGCTGAGGGGATGCGCAAGAGGCCGGCGGGGAAGTGGGGACTCCAGAGGAGAGCAACGCGGCCAGGGCGCGCTGTTGTGGGAAATGGGTGGGCTCACTCAGCGGGGACGACTGTCATCACGGGGGCGCACGACACCTGCGGGCACAGGTGCAGCCGCCGGCCCAGCACGGGCCGGGCGGCGGGGCGTTGGCTCGCAGGGGGCCCGCGGCTTCGGCGGCCGAGGGGCGGGGCCCAGCGGTGGGCGGGGCCTGGGGCGGGGCGGGGCGGCGGCGGGCAGTGGCGCGCGGTGGGCGGGGCGGCGTGACGCGCGCCGACGCCGATCCCGGAAGCGGTGTCAGATGCTGGGGAGCCGGGCGGGCGGGCTGGCGGCGGGCGGCGGGGGGGAACTTGTTGTCCTTCGCGAAGTAGGAGCCCCAGAGCGCGGCGGAGGCGGCGGCCGAGGGGGAGCGCGAGAGTGAGCGCGAGCGCGAGGAGAGCGCGTGCCCGCGAGGAGCCGCCGCGCGCCCGCGCCCCCCGCGCGACGCCAGGTGAGGAGCGGCCGCGCGGGGCCGGGCCGGGCCGGGTTGGGGCCGGGGGCGGGTCGGGGACGGGTCGGGCCCGCGCGCCGCTGAGTCACGGCCGCCTCGGACCCGCGGCCAAGTTGGGCGGAACCTCGAGACCCCGGCCCGCGCACCTGCCGTCAGGTGCCCTGCCGCGAGCGCGCCGCGCGGGCCGGGGTCTCTTCTTTCTCAGGCCCGGGAGCGCGCCCGCGAGTCCCGGGCCGCCCCGAGCCCCAGCGGGAGGCCGTGGGTTCCCCGGGGGTAAGCGCCGGCGGGCCCGGCGGCCCCTGTCGACCCCCCCCACCTGCTTTGCCTTTAACCCCCGGAGGTCCGCTGCGGGGCGGGAAGGCGGGGGCGAAAATAAACGGCCACGTGCAGGGGAGCGCGTAGTCGCGCAGGGCCGACCCGGCCGGCGCTCCCTTGCCCGGCGGTGGCCTCCCACCCGCGTTCGGGGGGAGGGGGCGGGAGGGCCTGGAGCGGGGGGCTCCTGACCGATGTCACGCTCGGAGCAGCTGACCTGCCAGGGGATTCCCGGAGGGAGGCCTTGGTGTGGAAGCTTTGGGTGGGGAGGGGGACACTTCCCCTAAACCCCACGGCCCGCGGTCTCATCTTTGCCATCTGCGAGCAGGGGGTCTCCGTCTCTTCCAAGTCCAACTGGGATCCTGCTGAGTTGGGGAGACACTGTCGGTCCGCCGGCTCCCGCACGAGTCCCCGGGAGCCTCGGAGGGGCACCGGGCGTGCTCCGCTCCCCACCCAGCTCTAAGGTGCAGCAGATCGCTTTGCCTCCTGTCTCCCACGGCGTTCGGCTCGCCACGTGTTGTGAGAACACAGCCGTGGAGCAGTTGGTGTTCGGGCTTGCTGGAAGTTCCCTGTTCTCTCCTGCTCTTGTTTACCTTTCACACTGCTCTCGTGGGCCGGGCAGAAGTGCTCGCCCTCTGAATAAATTGTCAGTGGGGAAGATCCCCACACTCAGCTACCTTCCTTTGCCAGGCGCCTGGCCGCAGGAAGCTCCCGGGGCTGGTGCACGCTCGCCCCGCACGGCCGATAGAATCGGTGGGTCCTTGAGCCAGTGTGGCTTGGCCGCCCGGCCGCCCTCCCCTTTCCCCGTTGTTGGCATTGGCGCGGTTTTGCTGTTCCAGCCCTCACGGCACAGGTATCTTGACCGCGTGCCTCTGTGTGCTAGGCGAGCTGGGCCATCTCCAAGCACCCTGCCTTCTGGGGTGGGGCTTTGCAGCGAGTGTCGGTCTGAGCCCGTGGGAGGGGTCTGAGAGGTTGAAGGTGGGCTGTGCAGGCGGGTGAGGAGCGCCTGCAGCCGCCGTTGTCTTGTGGGTAGCTGACAGCTTTTGGAGAGCTTCCCTCCCTGGGCGGCCCAGCAGGCATGTTTGAGTTGAGCTCCTTCAAGGGGGTCTGCTTTTAGAACTTAACAGTGGTCCTCTCCTGATTCCAAAATAGTTTCCAAACTCAAAAACACAAAGCAAGGCTTCTCTCTGGAGCACATTTGCCTTCTGTGCTTGAACGTAGCTGGACTTTGAGGGATGCGTTCCAAGTTCAGCCCCACTCACTCAAGGTGGTTGCTAAAAATGGGAGTTGAATCGGGGCTACTTGGGGAAATCGTTTCTGGGGCTTGCTGCGTTCCAGCCCTGTCTCCAGGGCCCAGCTGCCGCCGAGTGAGGTCGCTTTCCCGACCCAGACCCACCGTTCTCTGTCCGTGTGTCCGCAGCCCCACACGCTTTCACTCTTGGGGCTTCGGTAGCTGGAGAGTCTGTTTACCGTCTCAGGCAGCGGAGAAGAAATCCTGCCTGTGTCCTGGCTCTTCCTGAGTCTAAAGGTTTCTGGAGTGGACTTTCTGGCTTTAGGGTGCAGTCCACACGGGAAATGGAACCCGGGCAGCTGTGAGCGTTCTCTGTGTGGCTACTCCTCAGAGCAGTAAACAGTGACTCACCCTCCCCTCTGCTCCCCGCCTCCCTGCTCCCTGCCGATGGAAGATGCACTGCTCCCGTGTTTACTTTTGCTTTTTGTAAGTCACAGACTGGTCATGTTTCCTCTTTCTTACAGTTTCAGGAAATTGAAAGTGTTCTCTTAAAATCATAGAACTTTAGAACAGGTAGAAATAAATGTAGGGATTATGCAGTACACATACACCCCCCGCGCGCCCCCCCCCCCCACTTTACATGAGGACACCAAGCCCAATACCCCTTACCTGGCCTGTGGCGTCAGAGTCCGATATCCGGGGTGTGGGGGACACCCTGCCTGCTTTTCTGTGTTGCACGTGGGCTGCACGGGACGGGGAGGGCCAGACAGGTCCCGAGCTGAGGCGCCCCCGACCCCCTCCCTTCAGGGCAGTGCTGACATGTGCGCTTAGGTGGCTTGCCTCTCACTTGCTGGGAGTTGAGGGGAGCAGGTGTGGTTAAGAACGTCCCCGCCCTCCAGCAAGGGAAGCAAACCTCAGACAGAAAGACCAGGACCAAGTCTTGGGCTCAGCCCTTGATGTGTACTTGTGAGGGGGTGCCCGCCCACCCCAGGGAAGGCAGGAGGCGGCTTTCTGGTGAAGCAAGGGTTGGGGGGAGAGGGTGGGAGTCCAGCACTGATTGCGGAGGCTCTAGAAGCCAGAGGTGAAGGCCTGGATGCGACAGGTGGCCAGGGGCGTGAGGGGCTCAGGAGGGCCTTCAGGCAGGGGGTTCTTCTACCCACCTTGGGGCCTACATTTGAGGGGCCAAGGCCCAGACAAAAGCAGCCCAGGGTTGAGCCAGGTAGTGCTGGAGGGCTGGAGCATCAGCAGAGAGACGGGCTGAGGCTGACAGGCCAGGCTCAGCAGGTGGACGTGGAAGGAGAGGTGAGGTGTTGGGGGTGATTTCCGCATGAATGGCATGATGGGTCATCACCTGAGCTGGAGACGCAGCAGGAGGGCAGGTGTGGGGACAGGGCACATCTCTGGGGCCTGTCAGACACGCGGGCTGTGTAACCTCAGTGGGATGTGGGGCTTGGGGCTGGTCGAACCCCTGGGCAGCTGTGGCACGAACAGAGCCCCAGAGGGGAGCCTGGAGACAGGAGGACCACCCAGAGGGGTACCGGGGGAGTGAGGGGCCAGGGCGTGGCCAGGGAGGTGAGGCGTTCAGCCTGCTGTCAGCCTAGCAGCCGCCTGAGTCACCTCTGGACAGAGCCAGGATGACACAGCTTCCTCGGACTGCAAACGCAAGGTGACCAGACGTCCTCCAAGCCAGGCAGACAGTCATGTCTTGCCGGAGGGCGGCCAGCCAGGGCCAGCCTGCAGGCTGGGTGTGGGCTAGGCTGATGGGGTGCACCCGCACGTGGAGGGGAGTTGGGCGGGAGGTACGAGCCCTCCCGGTGCCAGGCCTGTCTTCAGTTGGGTGAGGCGTCAGCTTGGGGGGCAAGCTGGCCATGTCACCCTGTGCTCATGGGACAGTTGCCTTCTGTGTCGGCCCCACTGTGCTGCCAGCTGGGAGGGGCGCTCAGCTTTGGGTCCTCTGTGAGAAGGCCCCCAGCCCCCCAGGACAGAGGCTTCTGGCTTTGGGGTTTGCACCCATCAGGGTGAGTCAGATGCTGTTCTGCTGTGTGAAGTGGAGATCTGCTTCAGGACAGAACCCTTTTCCTCCCTTCCTGTTTTCCTCCTGCCCTCTTCCCTCTCCCTGGATCTGACCCCCTCGGAGACCTGGGAGGGCTGAAGGGGGCAGGCACGGGGAGTGGCAGCCGCCATCACTCCACACTGAACAGGAACAAGAGTTTTTTTGAGCGTCTACCCTGCTGGGCACCAGATTCGGCTTCCTGTGCACGGGAAGCTCATGGTGTAGGCTAGTCTAACTGAGGTAAGGGTTAGAGCCCCGTCAGACTCCAAAAACCCCTTTTCTGACATCATCTAGACCTAGGGCTGTTTGAGTTGGGGCCATTGCGCCCATCAGCCACCTGGCTTTACTGGTGGAACAAATGTTCCCCCCACCCCCCAAGGCCCTGAACCTGAGTCTAGCCCAGTGAGGGCCTGAGCGCACTCGGGATGGCCTGGGTCGTGAGTTGCCCCAGATGAGCCGAGTCAGAGGGTGGGCAAGCAGCAGGTGTTTGCTGGGGGATGGAGGGGCTGAGACCCTGGCCTCCAGCTCACCTGCCCCTGGAAGGGCTGTCCTGCATTGTTGAACCTGGACGACTTGCCTGTTCTTTGTGGGTCCCGGAAGGGAGGGCCACCCCCGGCTCCTTTACTTGTTCCCAACTATGCCATCCCCAGAGGTGACTCCCATCTAGGCTGCTGGTCCATTGTTTTTCTTTTAGGGCAGTCTTTCCCTTGACTTTGTTCAGATGCACACCAGGATGAAGTTTCTGGCTTTGGGTTGAAAACCACCCTCTTCAGGTAGGAAAGCAGTCACCTGAAAGGTGTTCCAAGGTCTAAGTGCTGACCGAGCAGCCTTTCTTGACCAGCAGCGTCTTGAGGGCTGCGTGAGCTGAGCGTCTGGCTCTTGTTCACTCGGTGGGTGGGCATGTGCGCCTCGGAGGTTCACACCCGCCTTCGGGGGTCCCCGCCTGGCTCTGGCTGCCAATTTACTGGAATTCCAAACAGCCCATGCAGAAAGCGTGCACGTGTGGCTGAGGTTCTGTTAGTTGGTGGTGAGGGGACTCGATGCCCCGAGCGTCCTCCTGTGCAGCTGCTGGAGAGCCGTGTGCGGGTGCTGAGCGGGGGCCAGTGTGGTGGAAGGCGAGGCCGCCTCGCCGCTCCTGCCCGGCCTGTCGGGGCCTCGGTCTCTAACCCTGGCTGCGGTCCGGCCCGGGACCAGAAAGCAGTTCCTCCTGCGTGCGCTCTGGTGGCCGTGAGGTTGCCTGAGGTTCAGGGCTTTATAAATACACGTTTTAGGGCAGTTGTTTTAAACTCAGTTGTCCAAACTCGCACAGGTACGAAACTTTTCTCTGAACCTGTTTTCCAAAAGCGAACTGTCGGGTTTTTTGCCCGTCATGTTTGAAGTGATCTTAGGTCACTGCTGCATGTATTTTGCGTAGCTTGGCATAGGGGAGTAATGGTGCCGTTTCTGTCCATAAACTGAGTTCAGGAAAGACGGGCAGTGCCCAGCCATTGCCGTGCTCCTGGAGCTGGCTCCCTGGACCAGCGGCTGAGTCTGCGTATGTAGTGCCCCCCGGGGCAGCCCGCTCTCCAGCAGCTGGTGGAGACTTCCAGGGGTGCCTCGGCGGCGGGGGGTGGGGGAGGCAGGAGCTGAAACCTGGTCCGCCCGAGGCAGTGGGGGTTGTGTCTGTGAGCAGGGGTCCATGGGACGGTGTCTGCCCTTGCCTGGGACTTGCCCACCCATGTCTGGGTCTCTGGTTTCTCAGGGGGGCCCTGGTGCGGGTCCCAGCCCTCTGGGGGTTGAGTGGAGCCCCCAGTCAGGGTCTCTCCTGGCTCAGCCCAACCGAGGCTTTTGCGAGCTGGACAGAACTCTGGGACCCCTGGTTCCGATCCCCTCATTTTCAGAGGAGGAGAGTAAGACCCACAGAAGTGCTTTACTGGCTCGTTCCCCAACTTTGTCTCAAGGCGATGATCACCTCCACATGTACTCCTGTTCGCTCTTAGGCCTCACGTCGCTCTTGTTGAACGGGAGGTCCGAGAAGGGCAGGGAGTCCCCAGAGGTCAGACCCCAGCGTGGAACCCTCCCACAAAGAGAGACGTCCCTCCTCTCTTGGACCCCAGGTGGGCCCCAGGGCCGCTCTTCTCCCATCCCTGCCGAGGCTCTCATCTGTGTCCTGTGCCCAGAAGGCAGATGGGGTGCAGAGCTGGTGGATATGGGGCTTTGCCCAGGTGACCTTGACCTTTCAGATGCAGCCAACGGACCCTCATGGGGCCTGTCTGGAGGGGAGGGGGCCGAGCCCTTGCAGTGCTGTGGCCCAGTCCTGTGCCCATCCTGGTTACCTGGACATCCCACCACTAACTGTCACGGAGGGCCGGTCCCCAGGGGAAGTGTACCTGCCTGCCCTGAGCGCAGCCCTGTGGCCCTGGGTGCTGGCTGAGCTGGCCCGCCACCGTGGGGGAGGCACAGAAAGCCCTGCTGGTCGGGGTCTGAGCGGAGCTCCCTCCTTTGCTGGGGCCTCCCTTTTCTCATCAGGCGGGCTGGGCGGTCCGTGCAGGGTGGGAGGGCCTTAGGTCTGTGGGAATGTGAGCTCCTTGCTCTGTAAACAGCTGTGACTCACCGCACAACTATGCCCTGGCGTCTCCAGGCCCTTGTGCGCTGACGTGTGCTGGAATGACACCCGGTGGTGGAAAAGTTTCTCAGGGCTCTCCCAGCTGCCTGGCTCCTGCTGGCCCTCCAGGTGCTTTCTCTAGCACGGTGTGACCCCCGCACCCGGAGGGAGGGGCGCTAATTGTGCGCCCCCTGCCCCCCACAGATGCCGGGGGTCGGCCTGCTGTCAGGAAGCGGCTCCTGCTCCCTGCCGTGACCACCCCATGCTGCTGCGTCGTCTGCGTGTCTGTCTCGGGCACACGCGTGGGGGTGTGGAGGAGCCCGGAGCCCCCCGGGGGTGTGCCCGGCCCCGGCCCTGCTGCTGTCCTGCTCGCCGTCATCCAGCATCGGCGCCCGGGAGTGTTGCCAGGGGCAACTGGGGGTCCAGCGACCTGGGTGCTGAGACCCTCTGGTGGCGGAAGGCAGGCGAGCCGTGGGGACGGGTTAGGGTCCCGGGGCTGTGGGCGAAGGAAGGCAGGGTGGAGACACCCACCCGAGTCCCGCTCACCCTCGAGATGGAGGCTCGGCTGAGGCTCCCTCTCTGGGGCCCGCATCCCCCCGTCGTGCATTTCTCTGGTGTTCTCTCTGCTCAGTTCACCGTGCCTGGCGTTTGGAACGTAGACCCGGGTCCCTAACCCAGTGACAGAGCGTGGGGGCAAGTCTAGAGCCGCGGGGTCACACGGGTTTGTTTACTGTCCCGCAGCCTGTGTGTGTGCACCAGCCGCCCGAAGCCATTGTTGCTGTGGGCTTCTCTGTTGCCATGGCGACCACCAGGGGCTGGCTACTTCCCAAGGTCGCCATGGCAACTATCAGAGGGGAATCATGCTTGGGATGCTTTGGCTGGCTTTTTCATGAATGATTAGAATGTGTGACACAATGCAGACGCGAAAACTCGAAGGGCGGGCAGCGGCGGGGCTGGCGGGCGCCGGGGACAACTCCCGCCAGACAGCCGCCCCATGAGCTCGTGCAGCCGCGGCTCCCCACCTCCCAGATCCTGCCCTGGCCGCGCAGGGAGACCCCGCCCACCCCGAGGGCCTCAGGTCATGGCTCTGGGGCAGCCCAGGTGGGGGTGGTGATGTCACAGCCGCAGTGCCCTTTGCAGAGGTAGGTCTGCTAGGGAGGGCGGGGCTGGGCCAGGGCGGGTGCGGGCTCCACCCGGGGGGCGTGCTCCCCCGGGGCCCTTCCTCTCTGGAGCCAGGCTAGGTCAGGGGTACCAGGGGCTCTTGCCCGGGCAGGGTGCCGTCCTGGGGGCCAGCGGTGCCCTTCAGGTGCTGGGTGCGGCTGATCTCGGGAGGGGGCTTTGCTGCTGCGTGCTTTGGCCCCTGAACGGGGCAGCCTGGGCCTCGCGGGTGCAAGCTGCTCAGCTCGGAGGGAGAGTGAGAACAGGAAGCAACAGCTGCTCATGCCTGGGGGGCCCAGGCGCTGGAGGCACAGGCCTGGCCGGTGGGGCGGCATGGGACCGCTGTGTGGCTGCCAGGCCCTGGGCCAAGGTGGGTCCGGGTTGCTCTGTGGCCTGATGCTGGAGTGGGGGGTGTGGCCAGCATGCCCACCCTGCAGGGAGCCCCTCAGGGCTGGCTGGCTCCCATCTTGCTTTTGGGGTGACAGGGAGCAAGGAGCTGAACCTCGTTGGAGCCTCTCTGCAGTGGGCATGTCCCCACTTTAGGTCACTTGTGACGGCAGCAGGCCCCGTCCCCAGCCTGGCCAGAACCTAACCTCGCTCATTTCTGTGTTCTTGTGTGATTTTCTAGTTGCAGTTTCCAAGCCCTTCTGTTCGGGTGACTGTGTCCAGGTTATGACGACTAATCCCAAACCAAACAAGGCGTTAAAGGTAAGCGGGGTTGGGGGTGAGCAGATCCTGTTTCTGTCCCGGGCTCAGGCCTGGGAAAGGTCCCTTCCGGCCCCAGCAGCGCCTCTTTCCCAGGGTTGCCCTGAGTGTGAGGAAGGAAACCCTGTCCTCTGGAAGAGAGCAGGGGGGCTGTTGGCTAGAGGACGTGTCACAGAGAGGTGGTGACAGAATTGGGGGTCGTGGCCTTGGGAGACACCAGCTCTGACATCTGGGGGGATCCCTTCTTGGGAGGGAGTGATAGGGGTGGATCCCCGTCGGCTAGGATGTGCTCATGACCCTCACTCCCAGGGGTGAGCAGTGTATCCTCCATCCCGTGGAACCTGGCTCCCAGGGCCTGGCCGTGAGCAGCGTGTGCTTGGGTTGGCTGTGTCATCTTGGGAGCGGAGCTGGGTGTGCAGGAGAGGGCACTGTCCATGCATTTCTGGGCCGAGCACGCCCAAGCCGCATCTGAGGTCCCACTGGGTCCGAGGCATGCAGAAGGATGGGCTGCCGTGCCGTCCCGTCCCTCCCCTGCCTGTGTCCGTCCTGCCCCGGGCCCTGGAGAGGCACAGAGGGTAGCAACACGTGGGCCCTGGCCTTGCAGAGTGTGGGCGGCCAGTGGGATCCAGGTGATGGCCGGGTGTAGCCAGCAGCCCCCATCCGAGAACCGCCTGCATGATGCTGTGTGCGTGGCGTGCAGACCTGCACCCCGCAAGGACCGTCCCCGTTCCGTGATGGAGGAGCGAAGGCCCGCTTGCGCAGTGGAGGGGGGTGCTGTCCGGAACAGCTTGAGCCGTCCTCTGGGGTCCCTCCGTGGCCAGTCCTTCCCGCCGCGCCCCGCGTCTCCGTGCTGACCGCTGTGCCGTGGCCCCCGCAGGTCAAGAAGGAGGCGGGCGAGAACGCCCCGGTGCTCAGCGATGACGAGCTGGTGTCCATGTCGGTGCGGGAGCTGAACCAGCACCTGCGGGGCCTCACCAAGGAGGAGGTGGTGCGCCTGAAGCAGCGGCGGCGCACGCTCAAGAACCGCGGCTACGCGGCCAGCTGCCGCATCAAGCGGGTGACGCAGAAGGAGGAGCTGGAGCGGCAGCGCGTGGAGCTGCAGCAGGAGGTGGAGAAGCTCGCCTCCGAGAACGCGAGCATGAGGCTGGAGCTCGACGCGCTGCGCTCCAAGTACGAGGCCCTGCAGACCTTCGCCCGCACCGTGGCCCGCGGGCCCGTCACCCCCACCAAGGTGGCCACCACCAGCGTCATCACCATCGTCAAGTCCGCCGACATCTCCTCCACCTCTGTGCCCTTTTCGGCCGCGTCCTAGTGCCCGCCCAGGGTGGGGCCTGGGGGGCTGCGGCCGGGCAGGTGGTGGGCTCCTCCCTTGTGCCCATCAGACGAGCCTACGGGGAGCAGACCCCTCATCACCTGAGTCAAGCACAGACTCGCGGCGGGGACGGGGCTGCCGGCCGAAGATGGGGTCTCGTGAGACTGTGTGCTGCACGCCTTCCCACACGCACGCACACGCAAACACGCACACGTATGCACCTGGCCTTCCTCTGGGCCCCACCGGCTCTCTCCGGACCGTCCTTTTCTAGGGGTGTGGGTCTCGCGCCGGGGGCGGGCGTCGGGATGTACGGAGGGAAGGTCCTTGGGAGGTTCCTGGCCCTGTGGCCCAGACGGCGGGGGCTCTGTCTTCCACCCATCCCGAGAGTGGCCCGCTGTGGTCCACCAGCCGGTGCGGGGACCCCCTCGCTGCCCTGAGCTCTGGTGCCGCAGGACGAACCATGTGCTCCTGGTGACGAAAAGCACCATGACCCTGCTTTTAGCCTTACGGGAGACCTGCACCCTGCGAGGCGGAGGGAGGGCCGCCCGAGGGGCTGTGTGCGCGTGCACGCGTGCCCCACGATGTGCCAGCCATCGCACCAGCGTACCGGCAGCAGCGGGGCCTCGGGGGAGAGGCTCGGAATGGCCGGTCACTGGGGGGCCTCCGGGGTCCATGCGGCAGACGGTTGCATGGGGGTTGGGAGCTTTGCCTCCGTCGGACCTGCAGAGGAGTGGTAGCTGCTGGGTGGGGAGGGGGGCAGCCAGCCGGGGAAGGTGGAGCCCTGCGCAGGGAGGGTGGCGGGGCCTGGGGGTGGGCGCGTGGAGGTTCTGTGCAGAATGGGGGTGAGGTTGGCAGGGGCCTCGGGAGTGGGCTCTGGTTCTGCTGGAGGGGACGGATGGGGTCTGAGGGTGAGGAGGGCGTGGTGACAAGGGAGGTGACATGGCAGGGGCCCAGGACCCCCCTCCTGGGGGCACTTGGGCGGTCTCTTGGTGCAGACGACAAGGGGACGCAGCTACCTTGGTGCTTAATCCTCGCCTGGAACCTTTACTAGCTCTTTCTGGCACCTGGAGCCCCTGATGACCTTGGTGACTCTTGCCGGGGCTTCCCTCCCGTGAGCCTCGATCGATCGGGGCTCCCAGCTCCCGTGTGCCGAGCTTGGACTGCCCCTTCCTGGCCCTGCTGGAGAGAGGCTGGGGCTGCAGGGTCTGGGAGTGGGCGTTGAGCTCAAGCTCCCGGCCTCCTCTTGGCCCTGCCACCCACCACCGAGGGAGACCCCCACCCCCAGCAAGCCATGGGCCACCCGCACAGGAAGAGGAGGATTGGGCAGGGCAGATGGCCCCAAGGGCTGCATCCTCCTCCTGCGTCTGCTGTCAGGAGCGGCTGGGAAAGGTCTGGGGCCCCCGCAGCACTGCTGTGTGGCCTTCGCCTTGGCCTTGTCCTGGGGGAAGGTGAAAGGTCAGGGGTGTGCTGGATCCTTACGGAGAAGAAGGCCCAGTGTGTTTAAAAAAAAAAAAAAAAAGAGTTGATACCATAGCCATGGTAGGTAATCCACATTGGATATCAATAAGGACCATGGGGAAATATTTAAAAGAAAGAAAGTATATATATATATAAAATTATATACACATTTTATCGTACAGATTTTTCGTAACTTTTCCTGTTTTTACTGTAAATCCCTAATAGAGCAGAGCTGCAGTTGGAGTAGAGTGGGGGTGGGAGCTGGTCGCCCCCGCCCCCAGCTCTGGGGAGGGAGGCCCGGGCTGCCCGCCCGACGCTTCCCTCTGCGTTCCCACCAGCCCTCGGGAGCGCCGAGGCCCCACCTGGGGGGACCCGGGGCCAGGGAAGGAAGACCAGAGCCTTTCCCGAGTGCTTTTCCTTTCAGCTCACCGAGATTCCATTGTCACAGGTTTAATATATGGATTTTTTTTATTTAAGAGAAAAGGCAAGGACTTGTGTCCCTGGAGTTTGCTCCCCCTGCCTCCGGGGCTTCAGACGCGGGTCCTTCCTGGGGACGGGGCCTCCCGCTTCCTCGCCTCCGTCGCTCGGCTGCTCCATTTCCATATTTATTTTTGTGCTGCTTTTATCATGGTATAAATTATTGAGAAGAGATCCCACGTCATGGTCCTCGTGCGTAGGACTCGTGCCCCGCGCCCGCCCTGTCCCCTCACGGCCACCACCTAATTTATTGCTGTACATCTCTGCTGTGATGCTTTTGTACCTTTGCAATAAAGAGTTTTCTGGTTTCAGACCCGCCTGGTTTTGTGACTGGGGCTGGGGGTCAAGTCCCCAAGTGCAGGGCACCATTGGTCGGCCGCCGCCCCCACGTCCCAGCCCCCCAACGCGGTTGTCCTCGCCTGCAGTGGGTCTCCTAGGCTGGGAGGTCCGTCGGGACAGCCACGGGCTGGGGAGGGGGTCGGGCGGGTGGAGGCGGCCGGGTTGGCTTTCTGAGTGTGGGCCCAATTCCCCAGTGTCCCATCCGCCCTGACCGGGAGCCCCCAACCTTCAGACACAGCCTCTTCCTCTCCAGCTCGGACGGCTCCCCCCTACCCCCTGGGTGGTGTGTGCCCCGGTCTCAGGCCAGGTCCTGCAGCAGGTGAGAGGGACGCTCGGCCTGGGGTGGAGAGCAAGGTGCCTAAAGGAAGCGGGCTCTCCCAGAAGCCAGGGCCAAGGGCCTGTGTGCTCCTCACGGGCCTTCCCCACCCCAGTCCCTCCCAGGGACAGACGTGTCAGCACTCGGCCTCAGCCTCTGAAGGAGGTCCAGCTTGCAGGTGAGGTCTCGGGGTTTCCAAGATGTGCCAGCCTTCCTGCCTCACCTCCGCCTGAGCTGACGGGACGGCTCCTGCCCTCGCTGTCACTGAGGGGGGGCGTCACCACCAGCCACTCGGGGTTCGCCTCTGGGGGGCCTGTTCCCTCCCCTTCCAATCCACCAGCTCCCTTCTGTGAAATTGGCGGGGAGCAGAGTGTGCCAGCACCGTGGGGTCACCGTGGCCCCCGGCTAAGCCAGACCTCCCCAAAGCCAGGCCCGCTCCCCCCGTGGGTGTGAGCTGGGAAGTCATTGAGGGTTACCCCTGTGCCCCCGCTGGGCCCTCCAGCTCTCTCGGCGCTGCCTGGTTTGGATTGCTGGGGCCATTTCCCAGATGAGAGCGCCAAGGCCGGGACAGCTTCGAGAAGCTGGCCACTCCTGGCCCCGTGCGGTGGGGCCCGGAATTGGGAGCCCACAGTGTCATCACAGATGGCAAGATGTGCCTCCCTCTCCCCACCTCGAGAGCACCCACGCTCCCCCCAGGAGGGCGAGGCCGGCAAGGCGGGCGGCAGCTGTGACCTCCCTGCGGGCGGCGGGGGTGTGGTGTCAGAAGGAGAAGCTGGGCCTTGTCCACGGCAGAGATGTCTGTGGGGGCTGGACGAGTGCGAGAGTTGGCTTTTGTGGGCCGGCCCACCTCTTGCTGGCTCTGTGACCTCAGGCAAGTGGCTCACCCTCTCTGGGCCTTGGGCCCCTTTCCCGGGGCTGCCGTGAGGATTCAGTGTGCACCAGGGTCCTGGCCCCGGCCTCACACACGCTGGACACAGCACACCGGCTGACAAGGCCCTCCCCGGGCAGGGGCCTGCAGGCTAGCACCGCCCTGCTGCTCACAGTGGGGCTGGCACCGGGCCCTCCTGCATCCTCCAGACAACTTCCCACCGTGGTCGCTCCCAAACCTGCTGACTGAGAGCTGCGGGGCCAGGGCCGGACCCACCGTGGTCCGCCGGCTGCGGAGGACGTGATAAGGCGGGCGGGGGACTCTCCAGCTGGGCCGCAGGGAGGCGGCATGCCTTATCTCACTGGGCAGCCGGCCGGCCCTCCAAGAAGCTGCGGCCTTGAGTCCTGGGTCTCCAGGCCTAGGGAGCAAGGAGGCCACGGGGTGACCCCGCTCTGGCCAGGACACTGCTGGTCGGCTCCTGCCCTGCCTAGTCTCTCCGGACCCTCGGCAGAGGGGCGTGAGTGGCCAGGAGGGAGGGAGGCCATCACTGGGTGGTGCCCACCAGGCTTTCCTGCCCGCTGCTCTGGCCTGGCCAGCCAGCCCTGGCTCCCCACACCCTCGGGCTCTCGGGCACACAGGCCCTGCCCTCAGGCCCTCCAGGAGGCCTCCCCACTGGGCTGGCTGCTTCTGGCCCCTCTGGCGGGCTCCTCGCAACTTTTGGAGGGCAGGGCATGTGTCTCCCTGGGCACCGGCCTGGCACATAGGAGAGAGAAAGACGGGGGAAGGCAGGCTCCAGTTGCGAGCCCCGTGTGTGCCCCGTGCTCTCTCTGGGCCTACGTCCATCTGTGGCCTTCATGGACCCACTACAGGCGGGGCCGGCCAGAGGCCCATCTTATGGAGGAAGCTGAGCTCCTAAGGGAAGGGGAGTGCCTTGGGTATCCTGCGGGGGCACAGGGAGCGCCCTGGGTCTCCCGCGGGCACGGGGAGCGCCCTGGGTCTCCTGCGGGGGCACGGGGAGCGCCCTGGGTCTCCCGCGGGCATGGGGAGCGCTCTGGGTCTCACGCGGACACAGGCCAGGGCACTCGGTCTTCCTGTGAGCTCTGTGCCCCGCTCTGCTCTGAGCAATGATCCGGACCCTTGCCCCAATGGCAGACTTAACACAGTGGGGCTCGTCTGACCGCCCCACTACAGTCTGCTCACCCGGGCACTGACCGGTGGGAACAGAGGCCACTGGAGTCACTAGAAAACCCAGGTGTTTATATATAAATAAGTGTGATTCGTCCGTAAGCCCCATGTCCTCTGCGGGCTGCTCAAGGTGAAGGTTCTGTGCAGGTGGCCCCGGGCACCTCCCGGACCCTTGTCAGGCACATTGGGGCGGGGGCTTTTCAGGAATCTCCACGGCTGGAGGGGTGCGCAGGGGCTTGGCAAGGCCCAGCTGAGTCCCCCACCATGACCGCCTGTCCGCGCCTGCGCAGCTCCCGTGTTCTCAGGGCGGGCTGTCTCGCTCTCCTGAGGCCGTCCTTCCCTGCAGGGGCCCAGCCTGGAAACTGTCCATCCAGCAAGGCCCTGCTGGTGCCCGCCTCACAGCAGCCCCCTGAGCAGATGGCCAGGGGAGCCCAGTGGGTCCCAGGCTCCTCAGATAAGCTCAGACGTCCCCTCCCAGGGCCACGAGCCCGCCGGTGGGAGGCAGGCTGGGAGGTGGCCCCACAGGCCTGGCAGGAGGGCTCCCAGAAGGGGCTTCACTGTGGGTGAGGGGCCCTGTGCTTGCCCAGAGGCCCGGGCAGCCTGGTCTCAGCCAGGTGGCTGGTGACCCGTGGCTCTCCTACAGCTCCTCCAAGGGGATCAGCATCCGTTTTTCCACGTTCCGACTCTTCCTGACCCCACCGGGGCCTCCTGCCACACGGGGGTGGGGGCCGGGGCTCGGGGCCTCGTGTGTGGCCTGCTGGGTGTACTGCTGGTAGGCCGGTGAGAAGTTGTGGACCGCGTCCTGCACGATGTCCTGTGGGCTTATGGTCTCCTTGAGCCCACTGGAGATACTGTGCATGGGTGCCTCGGGGGCTGGGGGCAGGCGGCACGTGTGGGGGTCGGGGTGCCCCAGACCCGTCATTTCCCCCTCAGGCCCCAGCCCCGGAGGCCTGGCCCTGCTCCCCGCCGGCCTCCAGGCTGCCCAGGCCCTGGGCTCGGCCGGCAGGGGGTGACTTCAGGACCTCTGAATCCCGGCCCAGCTCCCCCACCCTGGGCCTGTTCCAGCCCAGACCCCCAGGGGCCACAGAGACTGCCTTGGCCGGCTCCTGCCTTCTCTCCGGCCTGGAGTGAGCCCTTCACACTCGTGGTTACGCCAGGCTGCGGGAGGAGGTGCAGGCCGTCCCTGCCTGAATGGGTCATTCCCTAGGGATGCCCAGGCCCCTGGGTGTGGTGGGCGGGGCACCCCAGGCTTGGGAGGCACCAAGCCCCCCATCCCAGCAGGGGCCGTGGGGGCCCAGACGTCCAGTCCAGCCCATCTCACTCAGAACTCAGGGCCTGGGCCAGATGCAGATGTGGCACTTGTCTAGGGCGGGGGTCCTCCCAAGGGGCTGTCTCTCTGTCTATGGGGTTGAGATCCCCTGGGCCCATGTATGGGATGGGGGCCAGAGATGTGGTGCTGAGGGTGCCCAGAGGATGCAGGGCTGGCTGCGCCCCTCCCCAGGCCCACCCTCCACATGCCCCTCCCCCACGCCCGCAGGGCCCGGCGGGCATACCTGGTGAGTTCTTCTTCTCTGCATACACCTGGTCGGTGAAAGCATAGCGCAGGGCAATGGAGGCAAACAGCATCTCGATGCAGATGATGAAGTTTTGGTAGCCAGCGGCCACCGTGCCGGCCCCCACCTTGCTCCCATCGATGACCTGGACCTCAGGGATGACCCCACACTTCTCCAGGATGGCCAGCAGCATCCCTGGGGGATGGTGACAGCCACTCAGACCCGCCCTACACAGGCCTCGGGAGCTGGGTGGGATCTGTAGGGGAGGACGAGGTTCCGGCCCTGCAGAGGCTCCTCTGGCCAGCCCTGGGACGTCCCATCCGTGTGGTCCATTCCATGGAGGGGGAGGCTGATGTTCAGGGGTGTGGGTGCCTCCAAAGCCAGGGTCGTGGCACAGTGGGCATCTGGGAGCTCCCCACGTGTCTGCCCTGACCTCCCTGATCCCAGAGCTGGGGCCCGCCCCTAGCCCCACCCCGCACTGTCTGGTGGCCACCCTCCCCTGCACGATGGGGTCTGGGAGCGCCCCCAGCCTGGCCCCGGGCCTCTGCCTGACCTCTCCACCCACAACGGGCCAGACCCACTGGATGGAGCCTCGCCATTTCCCCCCACGCCAGGGGCTGTATTGCTTCCGGCTGAGGGGGGCGGTGGTTCTGACCTGTGCTCTGGCCAGGGAAGCTGGGGCCAGGCCTGAAGGCATGTGGGGAACTGGGGGCGGAGGTGGGATGGGGACAGCCTCTAGGCTCTAGCTGCTGCCCCCACAGCCCACCCACCCTGCCAGAAAGAGAGGAAGATGACGGCCTTGATGGTGAAGAACTTGAGGATGGGCTCGAAGGGCTGCAGGAGCTCCCTGGTGGCGAAGTAGAAAAGGAACAGGGCGTAGAGGGCCAGGCTGACAGAGATGTTGTAGATGAGGGTGATGTAGAGGTAGCCGCTGTGGATGCTGGGGCCAGAGCAGGTGCCGGGGGTCAGGGTGGGCCCTGTGCCCCATGTCCTCCCTGCTGTCCCAGCCTGGGCACCAGCAGTGACCCAGACCTAGACCCTCCCTGCAGGGTGGGTGGGCGGTACCCGAGCGCAACAACCAGGGAGCTGGGGGTGCCGGCGTGGGGCCCCTTGTGGGGAGTCCCGACACAGCAGTAAGGATGTAGCCCTTCTCCCTACGAAGCCCCCCACCATCCCTCTTCCCCCGTCCACCTGGGCGCGGCCCGTTCCTTCGGGCCTGGACTCTACATTGTGGACACATGGGCGGGTGTGTGCCAGTCTGTGAGTGTGTACGTGATGTGTGTGCCCCCTGTGGGTGTGTTCACACGCACATGTCAGCACTGTGTGCACATGAGCGTGTGAGCGGGTGTGTGCGTGCGTGCATGGGCTCGTGTGAGTGTGCATGTGTGTGTGTGTGTGTCTGCTCGTAATCACGGGCTCGTGTGAGTGCATGTGTGCATGTGAGTGTGTCTGCTCGTAATCACGGGCTCGTGTGAGTGCATGTGTGCATGTGAGTGTGTCTGCTCGTAATCATGGGCTCGTGTGAGTGCATGTATGTGAGCTGTGTGTGTGTGTGTGTGTTCATGTGGACTGTTTGTGTAAGCGCGCGCGTGTATGTGTATGGACCTGGTGCAGGGCTCCTTCGGGGTGTGGGGGAGGCACTGCCCGACGGCTCCCTGGGCCTGAGTGCCTGAAATCCCCCCTCACTCTCCTTGGGGTGGGCGGGCTGCAGGGTGGGGGCCGGGGGAGGGAGCCCATGGCCGCCGAGGCTCCGCAGCCCCGGCACCCCGCAAACAGGGACCCGCTCCTCTGGGTCTGTTTGCCGCGGCCTCGCCCTGGCAGTCTCCCGAGAGCGGGGGAGGCCTGTCCGGCACACGTGAGGACTCGGCCCTGTGCTGAGCGCCCCCCGGCCTGGGGCCCGCACCCCCGCCCCCCGGCAGGCCGGCCCACCCCCTCCCAGCCCGCACGGCAGCCAGGCCTTACTTGAAGTCCCCGTCGTGGTATTTGCCGAACGCCTGCAGGACGATGGTGACCAAGGCCATGATGGGCTTCACGATGCAGAACTGCAGTGTGGCCTGGGGGGGACGGAGGCATGGGGTGGTCCGGGGGTGGCTGGGAGCGGCAGGGCAGGGCAGGCAGGCCCCCCACTCACCTGCTTGCAGAAGCGCAGGAAGCCGATGGAGTAGGACATGCCCTGCAGGCAGCAGGTGCCGTAGAGGCAGCTGGACCTGGGGTGTGCAAGTCTGTGAGGCAGGGCCCCCGGGAGGATCTGTCCCCAGCCCAGCCCTGCTGCCTGGGGCGCGGAGGGGCCCCCGTGGGCTCTGGGGCGAGACGCTTACCGGATGGGCTTTCCCCGAATCTCAGCCATGATGGCACTCTCGCCCCCCAGGTACTGGAAACACAGGCTCAGGAAGCTGTAAATGACAAAGGCTGCAGAGCAGAGGGCCGGGGCGGGCGGCAGTGAGCCTGGGCTCCCCGGGGCCCCCACTCCCCTGCCCTCGGCTTCGGGACCACCCGCCGTCCCTGCTGACCCCCGGCCGTCAGCAGTCCCTGTGGCAATGAGGCCCCACCCCGTCAGGGCCCAGGCAGGCCCAGCTACAGGGACCCCTGCTCGGCGTCCCCGATCCCGACCATCAAGCGACCCCTTCCCACAGGGCCTCCCGAGCTGGACTTGGCCCGGAAGGGTGGGGTTGCCGAGCTGGCCGTGGCCTCTCTGGGGCCCTCCCCGGATCTCGCCAAAGCCTGGATCCGGGCGGCGCTCACCTTCGTAGCAGTCACGCACCGAGTCGAAGTAGACGTAGTGCTGGTGGCCCCCCAGGAGGAGGAGGCTGAGCCAGGAGTCGAAGGCGTAGATGGGCACGATGAAGAGCAGACGGATGATGTAGCGCTGCTCGTTGGGGACCGTGTAGGAGCGCAGGTGCAGGTAGATCTGGGCGGGCAGAGCAAGGGCAGGCTTGTGGGGGACGATGGGCACACGCCCCCGCTGTGCGGAGCAGGGGGCAGCGTCGGAAGCAGCGCGAGCTTCCCAGGCGCGGCTGGCCCCTTCTTCTGCATACTCTGCCGCGGCAATGCTCGCTCACTCGCGCACTTACTTGTGTGTTCATTCATTCGGGGAGAATTTCCCCGGGGGGGGGGCGTCCGTGGCCCCGGAGTTTCGCATCTCAACGTGGGCAGGCATCCAAAGGGCTGATCCCCTGGAGCCCTTTCCGGGATGTGCCCCATGGAGCAGGTTACATCCGGAAAGAAAAGGTCTGTGTACGAGGATGCGACACAGGGGACCACGTGGTGGGGCAGGCGGGTGTCGGCAGAGCAGCCCCACCAAGGGGTCTCAGCCAGCCAGTAAAAGTGGCGTCCCAAGATGCCCACGTAGGGACCTGCTCTGAGATAACGGGGCGTGTAGGCATCAGATGACAAAGCAGGTGCAACCCCATGCGAGTTGGAAACACGTGGTGAACACAGAAGGAAAGATGGCTCTGTCCTGTCCCTGGACGGTAGGAAAATACGGCTGATTATAGTTTGTAGACCTTTCTTGATTTTCCATGATTTCTGCGGGGAGGGGGAAAAGTAGTGAGAGGGTCTTGAAGAGGTGGAGGCTCAGGGGAGCGGGGCACACAGCACCTCTGGAAGGCTTCCTGGAGGAGGTGCCGCTGAGCGCAGGTGGAGAGAGGGCTGTGGGAGGGCAGGCTGTGTGTGGAGCCCCGCGGGCACCCAGCTTCAGAGGGCACAACGCAGGGAGTGGCGGGGGCGGGTTGGCGCCCGGAACAGTCCTTATCAGTCCCTCGCTCCCCGGCTGGTGCAGTGGGCGGGGCCCGGCATGCCCAGCCATTAGGAGACGTGGATTCTGTCCCGGGGCTCGCACTGCCTGGCTGGGTGGCCTTGGCCCCCTCCGTCCTCGCCCGCCTCACCTTCCCGTCTTGAAAGTCAGAGGCTGAGTCCCTCTCTGTCCTTGCGGGCCTGGCCGTGGGGGTGGGGGCGGGAGCTGCAGCCCTGGGGTCCCTGTCTGCCCCATGCAGGGGTGGGGCCCCAGGAGTCACAGACAGACACACAGACACATGCGCGGTCCCCACAGTGCGGGGGTTAGGCTCACACAGAGCGGGAGTCCGGGACGCCCACCCAGGACTCTGGGGCCTGGCCCCGTAAATCATAGGCTACCCCAGACCTAACCCGGTCCACTGCCAGGGAGTAGGCGGGTCCACCACACAAGTGCGCCCGCACCACCCACCGGTTCAGTCTTCCTGTCCAGGGGCCTGGGAGCAGCTTGGTAAGACTCAGGGCCAATCCCGCCTCCTCTGGGCAGCCCTCCCGGGTGGCCCCTGCTCCTCTCGGCTGTACTGTGCCCCCCCCGCCCCCCAGCCCCTCTCACGCACTTGGGTCTACTTCTGTTGTGGTTGTTTGAGGCCGAACAGCAGGTGGCTCTCACTGTGATGGGAGTCTGCTCACCCTCCCTGCCCACCAGCCTGCTGACGGCCCCTGCCCCGGGCCCACGTCCCCACTCATTCCCTCCCCATCCTGCAGGCCGGCTCCGCTCTCGGCCCCCCCGACAGCCTGCCCTGGCTCCCCACACCCCCCAGGTTGAAGGCCAAGCTGCCGCACTGACGTTCAAGGTCCCTCTCTTTTGTCCCGAGTGCGCCTTGTCCAGACAGCCCCGTCCCCGGCCTGCACCTCGCGCTCGCCCCACACGGCCAGCGCGTCCTCCTGGCCCCCCTGGCCCACACCCTGGCTCCTCCCTCGCTGCCGGGCCTGGCCAACCCCCTCGGAGGGGCTGCCCCGTCTGCCCGGTGCTCACCGCGAGGGGCTGGGGGCTTGTGGGGCTCTCCTCTGCTCCCCTGAATCTGGTATCCTCCCAGCCAAGCTCCATCCCCGGCAGAGACCTCCCACCTTCAGGCCTGGCTCCCACATGCGGCTTTCTGGAGAAAGCCCCCTCCCCTGCCCCTGTGCCCTGGCCTGATGAAGCGTCAGAGAGCCCTCCACGCAGCCGGGCCTCTGGTGGCCGCCGCCAGCCCACGGCTTGAGTCCCAGATCGCAGCAGGGCCAGCCAGGGCCATGTCCCGTGGAGAGTGGGGTCCCAAGAGAGGTGCAGAAGGGAGGGCCTACCTGGTGGCAGGTGAGCACCAGGGCAGTCCACACAAAGACCCCCGAGACGCCGCGGGCCAATGCGGTGGTGAGGAAGAGCCGGGAGGTGCCCTGGGAGCTGTTCCCCACGGGGTGCGTCTGCGGCTCGGCGGGCACGGAGGACGCAGAGGGCACGGTGGGCATGGTGGGCGGGGGGCCAGGCTGTGGCCAGGTTGCTGACACCAGGGGGCCGCGGGCTGTTCCCAGGAGCCCTGAGGCATTAGTCATCTGCAGAGGTGAGGGAGGACACAGGGAGGACTGAGGGCAAAGGTGCGCCAGGCAGCGCAGGCAGCCCCAGGGCCAGCCAGCGGGGGGAGGGGCGGGGGCGGGGAGGGAGGGGCTCCTCCAGGCCACCGGCAGGCCGGGGCGCATGGGCTTCCGTCCGTCCCTTCTGTGTGGTTCGAGTCTGACCGTCTTGCCCACTCCCCTGACCCGGGGACAGTCCTGCTCTAAGCAGGAGCTCAGCTCCAAGGCCGGGGCCTGGGGCGCCCTCCTTCCCCAGGGCTCAGCCACCTGGGCAGAGACTCAGGCTCGTGGGAGCCCACGTTTGAGGGGCCCGAGATGTGTGGGAAAGTGAGGGAGCCCCCGCTGCCCTGCCTGCCCGGGGTGGAGTCAGAGAGGCCAGCCAGGCCCTGCCTGCAGCGGCTGATAGGGGTGCAGCCCAGCACCCACCGGCTCCCTGGGACCTGCCCAACTGTCCACGGGCCCGACTGTGCGGCAGGGCCCTTCACCCGCCCAGGCCCGCTCAGTAGCCCTGGAGGCTGGTTCTTCCGCTGCTGGCCAGCCAGCTGGGGCACCCGGGTCTCTCCCCTGGCCTCTAGCCCACGGTAGGTAGGGACCCAGCGCCTACCTCTCAGGCAGGAAGCTCCGGCCCAGCCCTGCGAGGCCCAGCCCCCAGGGAAGCCTGGCTGGTCATTTGCGTGGCCACGTGGCCCCAGGGGCAGCCCCACTGGGGGTGGGGCAGGGCCCCTATCTGGAGGCTGCACCAGGCCTGGGGTGGGGGGGCACTGCCTCAGCTCCCAGGTGATCCACCTGAGCTGCCGCCTGCGGGGGGGGGGGGGGGGGGGGGCGGAGGGGGAGGAGCGGACGCTCGTCCCCTCCCCTCCTGCCTGGCTGACATTCTATCTTTGCTTGGCGCAGCGGGCTCCCAGGAACCTGCGGGACGCCAGGTGCCCTCACCTGCCTGCGCCGGACGGAGGGCCAGGTGGCTTCTCCTGGGCCCCAGGGAGGCAGGAGGGGTCTCGGGTGGCTGGGCTGATGTTTGCCTAAAAACAGGTGAATTTATGTTGTGTGAGTGTCGCCGAGTCTGCAAGAGGTGCAGTGGAAACATTGCTGGGGTTGTGGGGTCGGGGGAGAAGGACAGGCAGGTCACTGGGCTCAGCCCGATGCCAGAGACCCCTTTGGGAAGAGGCTCATCCGGCTCTGTCTCTGGGGCCGTCGGGGTGGGGACACAAACGCGTGCATGCCGCCGCCGCGGGCAGCACAAAGGGTCTGCTCTGTGCCCCCGATGGGGTCACACGTTCATGTCCTCTGTGCCCACCTAACGCTCCCTGCGGGCCTGGGCCATTCAAGGGCTGAACTGTGGGAATGACAGATCCCTTTTTGCTCGGAGAGGTTCATCCACACGTCCACGATCCCCAGGACTGTGGGAGGCTGCAGGCCTGGACACACGACCCCTCTCCCCACCCCTCCACAACCCCCTCCCCCCCTGCCGGGACCTTCCACACTGACTTCTCTCCCAGCCATCTCCTTGTCCTGCCGGCTCAGGTGTCACCGTTCAGTCCTGTCCCCCCTTTAAATCTCACCTGGGATTCCTGTCCACCTGTTGGCTTTGTGCTTGCTGCCTGCCCTCCCTCCACGGGAGCTTCCCGTGCTGGGCCCAGCCCATCTCCAGTGCCCGGGGAGTGGGCAGCCTCTGTGTGGCCAGCCCTGTGCGGTGGCTCCTACCTCCTGTGGTTGGGGTGGCAGGTGTGGTCCGTACCTCAGCCAGCCAGAGTAAGTCTCCCCTGTGTGCCCGCATCCCGCCACCTGCCCTGGGTGCCGGGAGTGTGGGTCAGCGCGTGCGGACCCCTGGTGACAATGGCTTGGGGACCCTGAAGGGCAAAGACTCAGCTTTGGGGACGTGGATGGGCCTGGCAGGGGCCCAGGGACCCACCCATGCCACAGGTGGGGGAAACGAGGCCTAGGTCCTTCCCAGGCTGGTGTTGGGGGACCGAGCCTGCAGCAGGATGCACTCTGGTTAGATGTCAGAAGGACTTCCTAGCTGGAGTCAGCGGGGCCAGGCCTTTGGGAGCATGCAGAGGGGCCCTGGCTTTGGGGAGGCTTGAGGCCTGGACCCTGGGCCCAGATAGAGGGACTTCCGAAGCTCGGCTGTTTCCTCGGAGGTGGAAACACTGTGGGGGCGGGCAGTTCTTTCTGACAAGGCTGGTTGAACAGAGGGGGCAGGCCTGGGGGCCTCCTCCCCCTGCAGCTCTGCCTGCAGCAAGTGGGGGCCAGGGGTCCATGATCCCGGGAAGCCCCTTCCGTTCAGGGCCGCCCCTGCTCTGATGGTGGAGGCTAGGCCCAGTGTCACTTCTGGGCTGTTCCTGCAGCTGCCTTACCCTGAGGTTTTCTTGTTCAGCTGTTGCCTCCAGGAAGGCCTCCAGGGATCCCTGGCTCTGAAGCCTCCCCACTCCAGAACCTCTTGCACACTGCGGGACTTGGCTTTGCTCAGGCCCTTCCCATCAGCACCAGGCCATGCGTGCACTTTAGAATCCCGGGCCTCCGCAAAGTGGGGGCCTTCTGCCCTCCCGCTCTTTCTCTGGGTCCTGACCTGTCTCTCTGGAGGCAGCCTCAGCCCTCAGTGCCTTGCTCTGCCCATGGCCTCGGGGGCCACCTCGGCAGACCCCTTCACCTCTCAGGGCCTCTGCTTTCTCATCTGTACAGATGAGTCTGGGGTTCTCCTGCCGCGCCGTGGGTACGGCAGGCAGGTCCCTGCCATCACTGGGGCCTGGGACACCCCTCTTGCCTTGCTCTGAGCTCAGGGAAAGGCCTGAACCATGTCGCCCTCCCGGGGGCCGCCGGGGTGTGGGGAGTGGAGAGCTGCAGGAGTCTGGGTGGGGGAGGCACGGGAGACAGGGAGGGCAGGGAGAGGGGCCTGCACCACAGAGTGCTGGGGTCCAGCATCAGGGGCACGGAGCCCAGGAGAGCAGCCCCGCCCCCGGCAGCGGCTGTCATGGCCACGCACTCTCAGCAGAGGTGGCCTGGCCGGCCCGGCCTGATTTCCCTGCCCGGGGCTGGACGCTGACCAAGCCCAGCACAGGACAGACCTGCCTGCCCAGGTCCAGGCAGCTGGGGCCTCTGACCCCTGTGTACGTTGACCAGGTGACTAGGTTCTGGGCAGGTCCTGGCTGGGCTGTGGGTGGCTGAGACGCTGTGGCCGGTGTCGGGCCTGTGTCCTCATCCCCACGCCCGCCCTTTACTAATGACCCAACGCCCATGGCTCCTTGGCCTTACTGCTGGCCCTGGATGTCCTTCCAGACGCGCCCTGCCATCGGGGAACATCTCTAGAGGCCTGTGGCTCCTTCCCTGCCGCCAGCCCTGTTCAGTGCCGCCTGGGCAGGCAGAAATAGGTTGGGGGAGGACAGCACGCTCCCTCAGGCCCTCCCCACTGGGGTCCTTTGGCTCTCCTGGGGGTGCCTGCTCCTGGCGTCCAGGGAGCGGCAGGCAGGGTTTGCCTCTGAGCTTCTGTTCCGGCCCCTGCGATGGCCCTTGACTCAAGCAATAGCCACGGTGGCGGAGGGCCTGGGGGTCACTGGACCACAGCCACTCTCAGCCGAGGGTCCTGGGCGCTCGGGCCTTTAAGCCACTCAGGTGGGAGCTCGGAGAAGTGGGGAGTGGCGGTGGGGCCACGGGGCCTCTGCAGGCCGTGGAAGGAACCTACCGTCCTGGGGGCCCCAAGCCACTTCTCCTCTCCTCTGGGCCCATGGGGGCCGCGGGTCCCTCCAGCTCTAGTTCTGGGATTCCCTGCGTGGCGGGCGAGCAGGGAGGCAGTGCCTCCCGGAGGCCGGGACGCAGGCTCGTCACCTGGGTCAGGGCACTGGGCCCCAGAGCCGCGGGAGCAGGGCCCCAGGTCGGACACACGAGGCTGGGACCCTGACGCGGCCCTCCCTGTGTCTGTGGCCTTCCTCAGTTGCCCCCGCGATTGGAGCCCCCGCGTGCAACAGGTCAGCACCCGTCTCCCTCCCTTATGAAGGTGGGCCCCGGTCCCTGCGGCCCAAGGACAGCTCTGGCGGGCCAGCCGTCTCAGGCGGCCCACCGTCCTGCCAGCCAGGTCACCATCCGGGGGCTTCTAGGCTGGTCAGCTCCCAGCATGGGATCTCGGGGACTTCACTCCCTTCTTCCTGGGGCTCTCTGTCCTTTCTGTGCTGCCCAGTCCTGGCCCGTGTCCCTCCCCCAGGCCGGTTGCCTTCGTCCCCAGAGAGGGGCTGGGTGTTCCCGGGGCGTGCCTGTAGCTGCCAGTCCTGGGTGTGTCCCCGGGGACAGCCCTCCGGGTGGAGCTGGGGCAGGGGTGCTGGCCTAAGACCCTTTTTGGTTATCAGGTGGCATCGCGGGGCCTGGCAGGGCCCCGTCCTCTCGAGTGGAGAGGGGGTGGTGCAGAGAGGCTGGGACTCTCGGAATTTCAGGGTGTGAGGTTTTTTCTCCTGGAGCCCCTGCCCCACTAGAGTGAATAGGACCCCGCCTGGACCCCACAGCCCTCCTGTGGGTGTGCACACATGCACACACGTGCCTGCCCGCGCTTACCTCTCTGGTGGCTCCCTCAGTCGTCTGGTCGGGCCCCTCTGGCAGCTCTGTTGCAGGGCGGCAGGCCTGGGGATGGTGGCTGGGGGTCCAGCCCCCACCGTGGGGCCTCCAGAGCTCCGTTGCTCCTCACAGCAGCCTGGGTCGGTCCAAGATACTGTTGCTCCTGGGACGTGCTGACCCTTCCCTGGACCCAGAACACTCCTCCTTGCCACCGCCCACCCTGCCAGGCCGGTCCTGCCAGCTGGGGTGCAGCCCAGACCACACCCTCTGCCGTGCCCTGCCCAGACGCTGGGACCTGCTGTCCCTCCCATTGTCCACTGTCCAGCGGTGGGTACAAGCTGACCGCAGAGTCTCTGACATCCGGGTGTAGCCTTGGGTGGCCACATCTCTCCAGTCTGTGTGGTCGGGGGTCCGATGCCCCCCTCCTACGGTGCAGTGAGGGGCAGACGGGGGGACGTGTGCCGTCACCAAGGGATGGGCTCCTGGCTCCGAGCAGCCCACGCAGGGTCTCCGAGGGGCCTCCTCCAAAGACGCAGAGCCACTGAGAAGTCGGCCAGCCACCTGCTCCCGCAGGAGAGATGGTCCCCACCGTCTCCTCACAATCTCGGAATCAGAGGATCCTCACTTCCCACCGAGCCCACCTTCACTCCCACCCCCACCGCGACGCCGTCTGTCTGCTTCCGGCCAGGGTGCAGACTATGAAGCTGCGGGGGCAGAGCACCTCCCTGCACTCGGTCGCAGCTCACTCAGGGCCCTCTGATTTTGCGCATCGGTCGGGCGTCCTTCCAGTCACTCACCCGCGTGCCCCTCTCCTGACCGCCAGTGTCACGCCAAGGCACTAAGACGCCGGCGCTCAGCGGTCCTGCGTGCAGCTTAGTCCACCGCTTCGTTGTCGTAATGGGTTCTGGAGGATCGGGGGCCGCCAGGAGAAGCTGCTCGGAGTGATCGCCGAGGGCAGCCGCCCTCCCTGGCTTCTCTCGTTCGCTCTCGGCTCTGAGCCACGTCCCCACGTGCACTGAGGAAACGGGAGGGCGTGCGAGGGAGCGGGTCTGGGGGGCCTCTGCACTGGGCAGATCGCATGGTGGTGGGAGGGCGTGACCTTGACGGAGGAAACCCTCTAGCAGGCCGGGCTGCAGAGGCTGTCGACGAGCCCCGTGTCCGTTAACTTCCATCGCCTGCGGACCGCTGGGCACGCGCCATATGCAGCCTGTCCGTGCACAGGAATGACCATCCCCAGGGCGCGGACCGCCGCCTGCAGGGACTGCGGCCTCCCGGATTGCTCCTCCTGAACCGTAGCGGCAGAGGGCCCAGCGCCTCCCCACCCCGTCCCGTGCCTGGATTTATAGGGCAGGGCAGCACCCAGGCACAGGCGAAAGTGACAGGAGCGCGTAGCGTCCGGCCAGTTTCCACGAGCCACCAGACAGTTCCCGGCAGCTGTAAGGGTGCCACGCGGAGAAGGTGCTGGCGGCCCTGCTCTGTTCCACGCCAGGCCCGCCACCCCCACCAGGCTGCCGAGGGCCTGGGCAGGCACCACCCTGGGTCTCCGAGCCCCGTGTCTCTGGGGCCTCTTCTTCAGGGCGGCCTCGAGGGGTGGGTGTGCGGCTTCGTCGCGCAGTCAGGCCACCAGCGAGTGGCGGTGAGGGGCCTGCACCCAGGTTCAAGTCCCCGCTTTGCTGCGCTGGGGCGGCTGGGCGATGCTGCCTCCGTCCCCCTCCGGAACACGCGGATGATAAGAGGAATGACCTCCCTGGGTCTGAGTGAGGACACGGGCTGTCCCCCGAGCCTGGTCACCGTGATAGGCAGGTATGCTAGCCCCAAGGAGACGCATTTAGGGACCACACCAGAACACCGAAAGTTGCAAATCTGATCCCAGCCTCAGGTTCCCTTGTAAAATGGGAGGAGTCCTGACCCCACAGCACAAACACCTAATTCTTAGATAACAAGCGTTGAGTAACTGCTGAGTATTAACCTGAGGACGCCACGCCTCTCCTTGGGGGGGTGGGGCGGTGCTTCTCCAGCAGCCGGTTCCTCCCCACCCGTCAGGACACCCCAGTCCTTGGGGGTCCTCGTGTGTGCACGCCCCTTCCCTTCTCTGGTCGGCTGCTGTGTCCTTAGAACTTGTGCTGGTCCCAGTCCCCCGAGAGGCCCACCAAGTGGGGCTCAGGGGGCAGGATGTAACCGGGGGAGTGCGGTGCGAAGGCAGGTGGGGTGGGAGTGGCCAGGCTGGCTACAGGTCTGCCCGAGAGGCCAGGAAGTGGGGCGGAGCTGGCCACAAAGGAGTCCTGTGTCTCTCAGGGACGGGCCTGCCTCAGTTTCCCCGGTCACCCAGGCTCCCTGCAGCAGCGTCAGCGCCTCCTCTGGGAAGTCTGGCAGGATTCCCATGCATGAGCCCCGCGGTCGCCGTCTGCCAGGCTGTGCCCCGGGCGGGGCGGCGCTGATGGTGACCCCGCACATTCTGCTGACAGAATGAGCCCTTGAAGAGTTTCCCTCTGTCCCATCTTCAGCGAACTCATGCTCACCTCTAAACCGGACCAGCGGCTTGAACCAGTCCTTCCCATCGCCTGTTGGAGAGGAGTTTCTAAAGTCAAGAACCTCAGGGTCTCAGAAACCATTGGTTCTGAGGGAAACCAAATAAAAACATCTCTTCTGCTCTCACAAGGACATGGACGCCACCCAAGCGGATGTTTTACGGAGATCTTGTTTAAGATTTTATTTTTAAGTCACCTCGACGCCCACCCTGGGGCTGAAACACAGCCCCAAGATCGAGAGTCGCACACTCCACTGAGTGAGCCAGCTGGGCCTCCCCTCTTTACACAGGGACCCCAGCTTCCAGACCCCGGGCCCTCATCCCCTCTAGTCTCCGGTCCTCTGCAGGGCGGACTCAAACAGCACACTGGAGCCCCACTTCTGGTGCGGACAGTGACGCGCCACCATGGCTAGTGGGGGACAAGGACCAGCCTGGAAGGTCCGAGCTGCTGTCCACCAGAGGCCCGGGCGGTCACAGGCCACGAACGCCATCCTGAAGCCCACGCCTCACCGTAACTGCCGCACGGCAAGACGGTAAGAGAGGTTCGCGGAACGGAAGGCAACGGCTGTCCGGCAAGCCAAACCGGCTCAGGGAAGCCGGGGGAAGGAGCAAGGGCAGCGCGCACAGCGTGTGTGAACCTTGCCAAACAAGCTTTCCTCCCACTTACGGTGCGCTGAACCGAACCTACGCCACGTGACGTTAGTTTCTCAGTACTGCCAGGAAAGATGGTGAGGTATCCGGGGACAGGCATTTATTGAGAATAAAAAAAATTTCCTTCAACAACAGATACTGCACGTGGGGGGCCAGGACTCATGCCTGATGACTCATCTTTCAAGTCTCAAACATACGCAGCGATCTGGACCCGGGTAAGAACCGTTCACAGCCCTCAGACACACTCCGCAGGTTTCCTCCACCCGCGGATAAGTTAGCGCCCAAAGTACCAGTCTGCCTGGGATGCGCACGTTTCTTCTGGCTTCTAGAGCTAAAGGCAGAGCTCCTCCTCCTGCCTGACCCCGGGTGTCGCGTGTCCCCTCAGCTCGCTGAGTAGCAGGTGTGTCTGCTGCTCCAGGGTCACCACACCTGGCAGGACTGGATCACCTCCTTCAAGGCCTTCAGCCCCTCCACACTCCTGTCCTTCACGGCCATGGCCAGGAGGACCGCTTTGTTCCCAGCTTCCTGAGACACAAATGTCACCAGGTTCTTTGCTAAGACATGGATGAGAGGCTGGTAAAGGAAAGAAGAGAAACCATTTTAATCGCGACAAATCTGTTTTCCCTTAGCGCCTTCGCGGTGTCCCCTAGGAACCCGACTGGCTTTCTACAACCCCAATAAATCACACCCCGCCCCGTAAGTTCAAAGCAACAGTCGTGCAGACTCCAGAACGCTCCAGTCCTAACCAAAACGCTGAGGAGGCACCATTCTACTCATTTTCTTGGTGCCTTCTGATTCCCTGGTCTCTTCTGGTGGCCGTCATCTAGAAGGAATCGTGAAACGTATTCTGCACGGCTGGGGTGGGGTCTGTCAAACCTCACAGGCGATCTCGTCAGAGCTCGTTACTCCAAGGTAGCATGAGAGGCTCAGACCTTACAAGACCAATACCCGCCTGTCCGCCAGATACAACACCGACGGGCTGGGAAAAGCACGCGCCTAGGGCAGGCAGGTGCTCTCTCAGCTGCGCAGGCTTCAGGAAACGCCCCCACCGGCCCCTCCGGCCACTACTCACAAACCGCAGTCACCCCAGCGGGTGTTCCTCCACCGTGGGGACCCCTTCCCAGCCACTTTACCTCGTCCTGCCCCAGGAGGACCTTCGTGGTGAGCACAGGCTTGCTGATGTCACTGGCCACGGGGCTGGGCTCCAGGGAGACCAGGGTACCCATCTTCCCGAACTGGGTCACCACCACCAGGATGTGAGTGCTGAAGGCTGTGCAGACCACCTGCGTGGGGACCCCACACACCACTTCCGTCTTCTGCTTGGAGACCAGCAAGGGTTTGCCTTCCATGGATGGGTCTCTCCAGGGGCACTTTCATGTTTAACAAGGAAAGGGAAAAAAGCGGAGTAACTCAGCCAAGCCGCGCCGGACGTGCCCCGTGGCCCCGGCGTTAGTGCCACCCGGCACCGGACACGAGCGCGCCCACGGGCTTCAGCGGAGCCCCCGGGGGCCGCTCCCAGGCGCACGCTGGTCTCGGTGCCCGGAGGCTCCCGCCCTCCCGCCCGGCTCCACCCCGGCCGCGGACGGGGCCGGCGGGAGCGAGCGCCGCAGGTGCACAAGGCTGGGCTCAGCAGGTGGCCGCGCTCCCGCCGCCCGCCGCGCTTCCCCTGCCGTTTGCGGACAGGCCAGGGCAGCCTCCCGCGCGGGCGAAGGGCAGAGAGCGACGCGAGGCCGGCGGGCCGGGGGCCCCGCGGGGACGCGCGCCGCCCACCCATCCCACCCGCCACGCCGCCCGCGCTTACCGCGCCGCGCCGGAAGTGACGCCTTGGGCGACGCGGGCCGCCCCCGCAGGGGCCCCGCCTGCTCGCGCTGCGGCCCCTCCCACCGGAAGGGCGCCTGCGAGCTTCCGGTCCCGGCACGGTCTCCGGCGCCCGGAGCGGCGGGGTTCCGCGCTCCGGAGAGGGGACGCCTGCGAGGGGCGAGGGGCGGCAGCCCCCCGCCCGCGGGCCTCGCCTCCCGGCCTCTGGCTGCTCCCCCGGGGTGTCCTCGGTAGTCGGGGCAGCGCCTGGCTATGGGTTCCCTACCCGCATGGCGGCCCGGGGGCTGTCGGAGCGGAGCCGGCGCCGTGCAGAGGTCGCCCCACGCAGAGCGGGCCGCGAGGGCCGCCGCCGCCGACACAGGGACCTGGGTGTGGCCGGCAGGAGTCGGAGCCCGGGCGCGGGGCGTCCTGCTGACCCGGGCGGGCGGGACGGCGCGGAGGCCCCACGGCGAGGCCAGGACTGAGGGCCCCGGGGCGGGGGCGGTCCGGGGGGGGCGAGCCCTCCGCCCCACTCTCCCGGGGCCCCCAGCCCTCCTGGGGTGGTCTGCAGGGGTGGGGGCGATCTGCGGGGCCGGAGGGCGGTCCGTGGGGGTGCGAGCCCTCCGCCCCACGCTCCCGGGTCCCCCAGCCCTCTGGGATCGATCTGCAGGGGCGGGGGCGAGCCCTCCGCCCCACTCTCACGGGGCCCCCAGCCCTCCTGGGGTGGTCTGCAGGGGTGGGGGCGATCTGCGGGGCCGGAGGGCGGTCCGCGGGGGGCGAGCCCTCCGCCCCACTCTCCCGGGGCCCCCAGCCCTCCTGGGGTGGTCTGCAGGGGTGGGGGAGGGCGGTCCGTAGGGGTGCGAGCCCTCCGCCCCACGCTCCCGGGTCCCCCAGCCCTCTGGGATCGTGCTGCAGGGCTGGGGGCGGTCTGCGGGGGAGCCCTCCGCCCCATTTTCACGCGGGCCCCAGCCCTCTGGGGTCCATCTGGGCCACCCTTCCAGCGCACGTCCATCGGATTCCTCAGGCCGTGGTGGGTGCCCGGCAGTGGGCGAAGTGCTCTGTGAGCAGTGGTTCCTGCAGTCTTGACCCCGTCCTGTAGACAGGCTGTTCAAGTTCAGAGCGCTTGCCCCCGGGTCGTAAAGCTGGTAAGGGCTGGATCCGGGCTTCAGACGCTCGCCCTGCTTGCCCTGCATGACTGGTCTGAGGGCTCCGCGCTCAGGTACGGGGGAAGAGGAGGGACCAGCGTGGCCCCTGTGGCAGGACGATTTCTGGTCCCCTCCCGCCATCTCTGACAGCCCCCCAGGGCTCATCCTCTCTTTCTCCAAGCTGGAAGTGTTATTGGCGGGGTGGGGGACCTTGCTGCCCTAGCTTGAGCCTGCAGATTCCTCCTTAGGGCAGTAACAGCCCTTCAGAACCCGCACTCAGCGGCCTTGCTGTCCAGGTTCCTGACAGCCCCTGCGGGGGCGCATTTCCCCTCCACCTGGTCTGTCCACCCCGCTGAGCCCCTTAGGAAGCCTTGGCATCCCTAATCTTTGCTCCCTTTTCTCGTGATTTAATGATTCCTTAGACAATCCGTGTCAAGTCCAATGAAGCATGTACCTTCCAAAACGATTTCTGGTGGCTTAAAATAAAAGGCGTGTATACAAAACATTATCAAAATAGAAATCAAAATCAAAAGGAAACCTGTTTTTGAGCTTTCTTGCAGCCGGTTCACAGAGGGAAAGATTATAACTTTCAAGGTTCCAATACTCAAAAAGGATGAAGGGTATCAATTTCTCCCGAGTGTTTTTGTTGGGGCTAAATTTAAACCCACATCCACCCACACATACCCCAAAAGCAAATTGCCAGTTCTCTTGCTTTGCCGTGGGAAACCTTACGAAGGTGCATTCACTGCTGTTCACCTATTCATGCATTCTCTCTGTATACAAATAGACATAAGTTTGACACCCTCCCCTCCAAAAAATACCCAACTCTGAAATAAAGTTCTCACCTTTATGAAAGACGTGCAAGAGCAGAGTGGCTGATAAGTTTAGATGACATTTAAGCAAATATGTCAGTGCTTGTCTGTTGGCTGTTTTTTGGTCGAGATCTTGGATAGAAGCTGCATATGAAGGAAAGGAGGTGGGAAGTCTAGGAAGGGCTTCCTGGAGGCCGAAGTGGGCACGTGGGCAGAACGTGGGCACTTGGAATAATGGGGGCCCAGCTCATTGCCTGCCCTGGGCTGTTCTCCAGTGGGAGGCGAATTCCCTTAAGTGAATCCACTTAAAATGGGAACTGAGTAGTGAGAGTGTCACTGGTGGGGCAGAAGAGTCTGAGAATTTATCTTAAAAAAATGGGGGCAAAAGAAAATGTCTTGAATTTGTCTTACATTCAAGGAATTCTAGGTTATGAATGCCATTATACGTTAATTTGTAGAACCAACGAATCCAGTGTTGATTTGGCAGGGTCATAATTTTCCCAACAAGTTGTCCGACAACGATTTTCCCAGCTGCATAACAAGGAGGGTGGTCCGAGGGTACCATCCGCTTCCCCAAGAGCCTCTCATGATCCTTTGATATGCACGTTTGTCCTTGGAGTCTGTCCTCTCACCAGCCGGCCCCGTCTGGCACTGCCGGGCCCTCCACGTTTGCCGCCACATTCCCCAGTATTAACCTTCACGGGCTTTCCGAAATCTTGCCTCTCTCATGATGCACGGCAGCACCCCCAGCCTCGCAGCGTACCTACCAGGACTTGCGACGTCGTGCCTGTGCGTGAGAGGGAGTGGGGGACACGGAGGGGCATTTAAGGGGAGCCCCGTTTTGTAAACGGTCGATTCAGTAGGGAAACCTTCTGTGTTAGGATGTCCCTACTTCCCTCTGCGAGCTCATGCCTTGCCAGCTCCGGCAGGCACACAGGGGCCTAAGATGTCAACCCTGGAAGGCTCCAGAATCTACCTCCTTGGCCCTTACTAGCTGTGCTTTGGGGCAACCTTCCCTGTCAGCCTCAGCTTCTCAGCTCGGAAATGGAGAGAACACGGTGCCGGCCTCACAGGAGGGAGTGAGGTGGGCCGCGGGCCGTGATTTCCCGGAGCTTTATGAAGTTAGCTATTACTTCATGTGTTTTCATACTTATACATTTATACATTATTTATTACCTTTATTATTAAACACCTGTCCTCTCATCCGCAGGTGAGTAACATCCTGCTGCCGTATGCCGGGTGAGGAATGGCTCGAAAGCAAATCAGTCTTTGGGGCTCAGAGGCCCTTGACCTGCAGGAGGCTCTCAGAGCTGCCACCCTCCAGGGTCTGCCTGAGGGAGTGGCTCATAGACACAGTGTCCCCTCCAGGTTTCGGTGAGATGGTGTAATAGGTGGAGCTGTGTTATTTGTAGAAATGATAGCCCCTCTCACGTGTCCCAGCCAGTCTCCTAAGAGGACCCGGGCATGCAGAGAGCTGGAGATCACATTTGTGATGCAGGCCTGAGACACAGCATCAGATAAGCAGATTTTATTCCCTTTAGGCGGTAGATACTTAGGACCGAGTTACGGGAGCTGTGTCCATTAGGGTTCTTCCAGGCAGAGGTGACAGACACCGTGTGAAACCGTCCTTTGCTGCAAAGGAGAACAGATGGGCTCACTGGACAGCCGAGAAGTCCTGGACACTCCGATGATTCTCCCCTCCGTTTCTCAACTCCAAGATTGCTGTCCTGCGTCCCGTCAGCATCACCAGCCCCTGCCCCCAGTCGCTCTCCTTCCCAGGATTCCCCGGGAACATCTAGGCCTGTCTCCCTAGACCAGCCTGGGTCACGTGCCTGTCCTTGAACCAATCGCTCCGTGAAAATGAGTTCATGTAGGAGCAGCTCCCCCTGCATTTGAGAGTTAGCAAGTCCTTGTCAGTGATTACATCAACGAAGAAATCACAATGAACGTAACGAAATATCTAGAGGGCCCCACCCTCCCCGCCCCCCACCCCTGGAAACCACGCACCCACTTTGTGTTTCTGCAGATTTGCCCATGTGGACAACGCCACAAGGGGACTCCAGCACCACGTGGCCTTCCGTGGCCAGCTCCTTCCACTCAGCAACGTGTGGACAAGGTTCATGCACGCACCTCAGGGCTGCGTTCCTTCCGACAGACCAGCTCTTGGGAGGATTAGATGAGGTCACATGGTGAAAGGGCCTGGTGGAGGGCCGGACACACCCAGTGTACAACAGGGCTGCCCGCCTTTCACGGGTCAGCGGGATCCACTCACGGAACCACACACAAGGGGCCTTGTGGGACCAGCGGCCCTGGGCTCTCTTCACTGCTGGCGTTTGGGGGCAGCTGATGCCAAGGAGTGGCCATGTCAACCTATCTGCCCGGTCCCCTAATGCGCCCGAGATGGGTCTGGGGAGATCTAAGCACAGGCCTTGATACAGCCAAGGCCAAGGGGTCCTCCTGCCCCAGTCCCGTCCCTGGGGAAATGCTGTGGTGGTTCGGGAGTTGCTGGTGCCCGTTAGGACAGAAGCAGGTGCGAGAGGCCTCGGGGGCATGGCCACCTCCGCGGTGGTCTGTGGATCTTTCTCCGAGCGGTTTTCCTGCCCCCGCCGCCGCCGAGGCTGGGGATGCTCTGCCCTGGGGGCCCCCGCGTTTACCGCCAGCCCACGCCCGTCCTTTCTGTGCCCCAGCTGGGAGTGACCCCGTGCACGGCGGTCACAGACACCCTTGAACAAATAGTGGCACAGAATTAGAAGCGGTTCTAATTAGAGTTCTCCACAAGACAGAGATTACCTATAGCAGCACCCAGTTATCTGGAAAAACAATGAACGATTAATTTTTTTCCAAACCAGGATTATCCAAGTGGAGGGAGGGGGGCAGGATATAAGAAACATAAGCCGCTGAGGTTTTTGCAGGAAAAAAAAGATTAAAGGCAACCAATCGAAAATCGCATATATTTTATTACAAAAACAAAACCCCGGGTCTATGTGAAATTCAAAATTTTCCCAAGGGAAATTAATGCATACCATTAAAACTGAGTCCAGTTTATAAGGATCCAGGGAGTGGTTCAGAAGAGGAATAAATCCTCTTCCCAGGGAGCATTTAAAGATCATTTCTGGAATGCCTGCAGCACAGGGGAAGAAGTAAAATCATTTTCCCGCAGAGGCCAGTGGTGTTTCCTGGTGGGTGTAGCCTCT